TACCAAATATACTGATGGAAAAAAGAAATGCAACACCTCCTCCACACTCTGGCCCTCCCATCTGTGTGGAACAGGCTTCACTCATCTGTGAAGAGGACCCGATGCCACTGCTGATCGGGTGGCAGATCTGAAACAATCTCTCGGATGGACCAGTCTGATGTGTCGGTCCTGCTCTGGTGTGGTCACTTGAGGGTGACTGGATCTTGGACATTTTCCTGCCGGTCTGCTGAAACCTTCCCTGCAGTCTGGACACAGTGGAGCGGCTGACTCCATAGTGTCTGGCAACGCTGGCACATGACATGCCTGCCTGCAGCATCCCAATGGCCCTCTCCATTGCGTCTGGTGACATTCGAGGCATTATGGAATGCACAGAAAACAGACGAAGTCTGGCCTTTTTCTTGCAGTGTCCTTAGCTTTGAATTAAAGCCTTTTTAAAGGTGACCTGATCAGGCATTGTTCCACCTGGACCTCATTGGGTAAACATGCATCTAACGAGCTTTCGTGTGACTGGCAAGTTGCAATGCCTCACTGCACAAACTGTATTGCTGGTCAGAGGGCTTAAAACAAATTGACAACGTTTTGTGAAAGTACATAAGCTAGAACTATAATAGTCTCATTCCAGAAAATGCTGTGTTCCTTTTTTCCTTCAGCATAGATCAGATGTGCCAAATGGCCTCCTATGTTACAAATAAAGGCCTGTAACCTTTCTTGTGCTCTTATGTTTGTTCACGTGTGGAACAGGCAGCTCAGCCATTCTGTTGAAGTTAACCCGGTACCTTAAAATCCTTCACAGAAATCATGGATGAGATCTTTGGAACATTGATGCAGCCATCTACCAGGTATTTCACTCCGAAGTTCAAAATCTGCTGAGGGTATAAAGAGATCAATCAGAACAATAGGTGTGCCTGATCCTGTCATGGGAGGGTAGAGGGGGTGTGGAGCACCTTGAGCAGCCATGTTGTTGAAGCTGATACCCTGGCGTCTTTCACAAAACAGCTGGATGACACCCGCGCCTCAAGTAGCTCCAAGGCTACCAGCTATATGGGCTGAATGGCCACTTCTTGTTCATGACCGTTCTTAAACGGTGGGACAAATGAACGCCACTCTTTTGGAACCTTCTTTACGATCTCAAGCACGGGTCTAACGCCAGCCACTACAAGCATTGCTGTGAGAGCTGACACGCGCTGATGGTTTTCTAGGCAGTGCACACGCCCAGGACCGATAATGGCTCAAATGAATGGGAGTCTTGTGACCTAACCCACAGCAGCAGATGCAGGCAAAACGGTCATACAGAACTGCTGCATCCACTTTGCTGCTCTAGCCTATCATTTCTCTTGGCAAGAAAATAAAAATTCTATAAATATATATGTTTGAATCAAAACTATGAATATAGAGTAAATGAGGCTGAATAAGCAAAGTACCTGTTTCTCCCTGCCAGCCCATTTAAATTCATACCCATGATTCATAGCAACCTACATCCTGTATACTGTATTATATACAGCTTGCACAACATCCTAAACACCTTTGATACTCAGCCCACGTTTCCAGGATATCTGTGGCACCCTGATTTCATGAGCTCATATAATCTGGCATTTGCAGATGCCTATCTGGAGTAGGCAAGCTCAAATCCAGTCTTTCAGACCATTGGACTGCGGGGTTTGCAAGAGTTTACAGCAGGTTCTGGTGATCGAAAATAGGACAAAAAAGCCCAGTAATAAAATAAAGAAATGAAATAAAAGTCCTCATAAAGATGGGCTGACCACTGTAGGCATCTTAAGAGAAACTCAAGCAAGAAAGGCATGGAAAACGCATCCTCTGTGTTTTTGTGTCACAGTTTAGAAAGACTACACCCAGAGTGTCGTTCTCCAGTGCTTTCCAGCTCGAACCATCTTGTACTTCAAAACCAGTTGCAGTGAGGAAGAGACTGGCCCACCTCCTGTGGTCTTGCCATTATGTGAGGCTTTCTGGGCCCAGTTTGAGGACTGGTCACAGGCCCTCTCACCTCACCTCTGCTGCTTTCATCACATACGACATCTCTCCCGTCAAACTGCCCTCTGATGTCTTTGACAGGATTCGGGTTTTAGTGAGCAGGGGAAAGGACGCCCCCTGGAGGAGAGGAACATGGGTGTACTAGAACCCCAGTTCCAGTGGAAATTGGGGTGGAAGGAAGCAGAAGATCGGTGGAAAACAAGAACTGAAGAATTTAACTCTGTCACACTACTCCAGAACATATGGAAGGAAAAAAATAACCTGAAGAGATGCATTGAAAACAGTTTCTTTAAATAATCATTGAATTTCTTGACCTGAACAGAATGTATTTTGCGGTTGTTTTTGTATTACTCACTTCATGTGTGCCTGTGTACTCTATTAGGAATATACACTATACACTGTAATAATGTAAAGTTTTTGTGCGCGGAAAAAAATGAAATTGAATTTCAAACTCGGACATAAAAGTTCGGATAGAAATGGCTAGACC